GCCACCCTGCCCTGCATATTTCAGACTTGCCAGTCCCCATGGTCGTGTGAGCCAATCCTCTTCCACCAGAAGAACCATGACTAAAATAGTGTTGGTCAAGTCTAGAACTTCCCGGCTGTTTCCATTTTTTTTTCTTTAGGGACCCCATTGAGATTTAAGGTTTATTTTCTCACTCTATCTTCTGTTTATTTACCTGTATCATAGTTTCTATTTTTTCGTTTCTCTGAGTTACAATTTGAATAATTTCTTTAGATTTAGAATTCCAAGTCACTGATTCTTTTGTCAGCTGGGCCTGATTTACTGTTAAACCCATTCCTTGAGTTTTAAATGTGATATATATGTGTATTTTTTTTCCCAGAAGTTTTACTTATTTTTTCACATATGCTTAGGCATTCAGTATAGTGTATTTTCTATATGCCTTTTCAAGTATGCCTTTTATTTCTTAAAAAAAATTTTTTTAATGTTTATTTATTTTTGAGAGACAGAGAAACAGAACATGAGCGTGGAAGGAGCAGAGGAAAGGAGACACAGAATCGAAAGCAGGCTCCAGGCTCTGAGCTATCAGCACAGAGCCCGACATGGGGCTCGAACTCACAAGCCATGAGATACTGACCTGAGCCGAAGTCGGAGGCTTAACCGACTGAGCCACCAGGTGCCCCTGCTTTTTATTTCTATAAACATATTAAATAGAGTCATTTTATAGTTGTGTCTGGTAATTCCATTATCTGAAGCCCTCTGGGTCTGTTGATGCAACCTGTTGTTTCTGCTAAATATCAATTACGGTGCCTTGTTTCTTTGAATACTTAGTCATTGTTGACTGAAATCTGTTCATTTTCCTTAACTGTACAAGGGTCACTACAAATTAAATTCCCAATCATATTTTCTGTGTGAATTTGGGCTGCAAATTCACATGGGGTTTAGCTCATGATTCCTAATTTTAGGGGTGAGTTTTCCTACTGTTTTATTGAGGGCTTGAGGTAGTCAACTTTTCTTGCGGTCTCCTGGGAGAATGTGGGAACGGCTGGGTTTTCTTCTATTTCACCTTCATTATCTCCAAGGGTGTAACTGGTGGTCCAGTTTTAGGGAGGAAGGATTTCTTGATAGACTCCTCACCTGGGTGGATCCTGGGCTTTATCTCTTATTCCTTGGGCTTTGGCAGGATGTGAAACGGAAGCACAGCCAATCTCACCTGTTTCAAAAAAATCCTTTCAGGGCTCTGCTTACATCTTGAATTTCCACATCCACTCAGTTCCTGGTCCAAGAATGCTTTACCATTTGGGCAGTTCAATGATGCTTCTAACAAATTCTTTTATTCTAGATTTTTAGTTGTTTTAGGTGGAAGGAATAATCCAGATACCCAGATACTCCATGTTATTGGAAACTGAAAAGCCTATATTTTTAAGTGTTAAACCTTGCACTTCTGGGGGGTAAACCCCTCTCTGTCATGATATATTGCATATATCATGTACATCTAATATAACATTGTTGAAAGGAGTTTACTGATATTTCTTACATCTTTGTTTCATAGTTGAGAATGTCCTGTAATTTTTTTTCTTATCCTATGATTGATTTTTTTAAAAATCCTGGTAATAGCAGTCTTTAAAATGAGTTGGAAAGTGTTCCCTCCTTGTCTTCTACATCAAGACCCAGAGAGACAGAAAGAGAGAGAGGGAGAGAGAGAGAGAATGGGACTTGTCCCAAGTTCAGGCTCAGGTCACGACTAAGGTCTCCTGTCCCTGAACTCAGGGCTCCTTCTGAACCCCTCACTGCCACCCAGCCACACAGGGGGCATAGCCTGGTCACCATCTCTGCACTGGGTGTCCAGGTGAGGAAGGTACTGAGTCAATGAGTGGAAAACAGATGTAGAAATGGATGGATGGAGATAGATGGATGGATGGTGGACTTTCCTGACTCTGAGCTCTGTAGCCCATCACGAAGTAGGTGATTCAGTGCTTACACCCAGCTTACAGCCACTTCTTGGCCCCGTTTTTAATAGCTGGGAGGACCTAACATCTTTTAGCCCAGCTTCCCCACCTGTGCTCTTTAGGCTGTGACCAGAGTGAACGTGCTCAGCATGGAGGTCAGCCGATGGCAAATGCAGGACATCCCATCCTAGACAGCAAGGTCAGGGCTTCCTTACCTGGATTGTGCCGAGGCCCTGGAGCTCAGGCGGAGTGGAGCCTTTGGTGTGTGTGATGGTAAAAGTGGGTTCCTGTCGTCTCTCCTCCCAACTATTGTTGAGATGCCCACCGGCCAAACCTGATGACTCATGGAGGCGTGGGTCTGTGTTCACTGTGGAGGTGATGTCACGTGGCCTGGGGTCTGGTCGTTGAAGCAGACGACCCCAGAACCTCCTTCCTCCCCATCCTTGAGTGGGGGAAACCCCTTCATCTCTTCCCTGTCAGGTTCTCACTTCTTGCCCCTCCCCTGGCATAATCCAGAGTTTACACTTTTGAAAATAAAACCAGGAAAGGAAGATGCCTTCAGATAGATTCTACTTCTGCCCTGTGACCTGCACCCTCCAGCCAAGGGGACACGGCAGAAATGACTTCCTGGAACTGGAAAAGAAAAATGGTCTGGGAATGAAATACAAGTAGCACCTCAAGAAGTCACCCTGCCCCACTGGCTCTGCATAGGTTGCAGGACTGGAGCTTCTCGTAAAGGCTTCCCAACTGTGGGCCTCTCTTTCTTCCCGACTCCGCCTTCAGTGATACCACAGTGAGAGCCTGAAATCCAGCGAGTGTGGAAATTGGCAAATGCTACAATTCGGGGAATGCAAAAGACATTTACCAGCACAGCACTGGGCAGGAGCCATGGCTAATAGCAGCAGGGATGGGAAGGGCTGTACTGAAATTCAGAGTTGGGATAAAGCCAACAAGAGTCCCTCTTCTTTGTCAAGTTTATTTTATTAAAATATACAGGACTGAATATTTGTGGGCGCTGAGAACAGGAACCACCCTCCCAGGCTGCGCCCAAGGGAGACACTTCTGCCATGCAGACATGCGGCCAGTCCGCATCCCAGCGTGGGAGACAGACCCCTCTTGGTTGGATGTGCAGCCAGTCTGGCCCAAGGCCAAGAGGGGCAGGGGCACGGTGGTGACCCTTTCCTATGGCCTTAGCCCCTTAGAAGTACAGCTACACCGGCTGGGAGGGCTGGGCTGGCGGTGGATGGAGAGGGAGAAGCTCCCTGAGCCAGGGAAAGCTGATGCCCTCCTGGAGGAGGGAAGAAAGACCCCCGAGTCAAACTGGAGACGGGGTGTCAGTGCAACTCCGAGGGAGAGGACCACCTGTGTGTGGGTGCCAAGGGGTGCCCGCGGCCAAATCAGGCCAGTCTCCACAGCCTCCACCATCCCACCTTTCCTTTGAGGGCCCTGCTCACCCTAGGGCCAGGCCTGAGCAGAGACGGGATGGCAGCCGGTGGAATGTATTGTATGGGAATGTTCCTCGGAAAGGCCCATGCTACCTGGAACTGGGTGCCTTCTTGGGGAGCCCTGGATGGGTGGGAGCAGCTAATCTCTCTCTCCTGGAGGTTTCTGTTGGCCTACGATTCAGCCTCAGGCCCCTCAGCCATCATTCCTGGCTCTGTCTTCAGGCTGACATCAGCCTCCATCCCCAGAGCAGAACCCAGTCAAGGAGAGTCCCTGGGGTTTGTGCTTTTGAATGTTGGTGGGCTGGGCTGGGGATGGGCTTTGAGCCCCCACTGCTCTGAGGCACAGAACTGACCCCCATGCTTCTTCCCCAGGGCTGCCTGTACTGGGGCCACTGCAGCCCAGGCCTCAGCTCACTAGCAGGGCCTGATCTTGGAAAAGCAGAGTGTCCCTGGCTCCCCTTGTGGGCTGCAACCTGAGCCACTCTGGGTGCTTGTGCTTTTTGTAGGGGGCTGCGTGAGCCTGTGTATGGAGGCGTGGCCACACTGCTTCAGGACCCTAACCAGGAAGTGGTAGTGGGGATGCTCATCCAAGCTGGGGGCCAAGGGAGACAGAGGCTGACAGGAAAGGAGGGAGAAGCCCCTTCTCAGGCCTGTTCTGCCACCTGGGCTCCTTGGCTCCCAGTCCCTGATCTTTGTGACCTCTTCTCAGGACCTATTAAGACCTTGGGGTTGAACACTCTAGTGCTTGAGGCGAATGGGCAGCCCTACCCACTTCATTCCGACTGAGCTAGGACTGGGGCAAGGGAAAGCTTCTTCCATTTCAGTGGACTCGGCAGACAGTTCCCCTCCGATTCTCCACCGAGAAGCCCAACCCCCGAGCTTGAATATCCCCCTTCCCAGGACGGACAGAAGAGAGTCCATGGGCCCCTTATCCCTGGAGCTTGCCCAGCTCAGTGGAGTGGCAGGCATCTGGGACCCCAGGGCAGCGTTTCGAGGCAACAGCAGGCTGTCTCCATCACCACCTCTTTCCTAATCCCCCCTCCCTTGATCCTGCTGCCCCTTCAAGCGTCCTGTGGGGACAGGCATTCTGGGAGTGTAGTCAGTGGGCAGAGAGTGGCCGGGGGACAGGAAGGCCAGAGTAGCCCCCGGAGCCTGGCCCATGTATGGTGGGAAAGAAGGGTGGTAGGAGGGAGGGGTGAGGGGGATCATACCAGAAGGGCCTTTGGAGACTGGAGCCTCCTCTGTAGGGGATCTTGAGCACTTCCCTGGCAGCACCCCATGGCCAGCAGCCTGCAGACACTGCTCTTTCAGTGCCCAGTCCAGAGGCAGCCCCACCCCGCTGGCCTGGGACAGGGACTGGCCGGGGTATGTGGTTCTCATCACCTGGATCCAGCTCCCAGCCAGACTCAGCCCCGCCCTGACCTCTGCCCACCCCCCACCAGCCCAGAGGAATGGGCTGTGTGTGTGTGTGTGTGTGTGTGTGTTTATGCGTGTGTCCAGAGCAAACTGTTCACTTTTTCAAATATATTAGAAAAAAGTTTCTCATGGAGGCTGCTCCTGGCAGGATTGAGGTGTCTTTGGGGGCAGAGGTGGCAATGGCCACTCAAGTACCCCTCCCCACCGACATGTCCTAGATGACGTTCTCAAATAGCTGCATGGAGCTCATGATGTTCTCATCCTGTGTGGAGAGAGAAGGATGAGAGACCTGGTCAGACCCTGGGTGGGCAGGCCGGGACAGTGCCCAAACTGGTCCTACCTTGAGCAGGTTCTTGCCGGGGACTCGGAACCCTGCGGCGACCACTCTGTCTGTCTCACTGGGTGAAGGGGCGGCTGGTGAGTCATAGCCTGTCTTCAGCCCCACGGCCTGACTGCAAGCCCATCTGGGGGCTGCTGTCTCACTGACGGACAAAGTCCCCTAGCTCTACTCAGATGGAGGCCAGGGGCACCTGAGAGGCCACTCTGGGAGCGACGCAGATGGCTGAGGCCGGTGGAGGCACATGCCACGCTCCCACTCACGCACAAGGCTGCTCTGCAGATGAAGGTCACCTGCAACGCTGGGGGGAGGCTCCAGGCACCTCTCTCACTGCGTGACCCTGTCCGGAGGGCCAACGGCCCAATCATCCTCCTGTTGCCCCACGTCTGTCCCCTCTGGTGTGAGGCACTATAAGGCCGTCCAAGGGATGCTGAGGCCACGGGCTGTGGGTTGTAGGCTGGCATGGAGCAGGTGGCAAAGGGATGGGGCCCAGACAAAAGTGTGAACATGGAGTTTGGAGGTCGGGAGGAGCTCGGGGACTGGCAGGGGCAGGACCCTGGGTGTCCTTAGCTCCGGATGCCACCTACCTTCTGACAGGTCTCCAGGAACTCATCAATGGTCACCACCCCATCCTTATTCCGGTCCATTTTCTGTAATTCAAGCCACGCCCTCAGTGAGTCTGTGGGTCGCCTCCATCCCGGCCTGTCCCATCTATCTCCTACCCTGGATCCAGGCCACGTAAAGTGCCCTCCCTAGCTACTTCCGTGGCACAGCTGACCTCTCTGGCATCTCCCCAGTCTGTTCCCCACACCCAGCCACTTCCTAGAAGCTTTCTTGGGCTTACACTTCCCAGAACGCATCCCCATGCTCCTCTGACCCCCTCACCTCCCTGACAGGCAGCCAGGGCAGATGGAGCAACTGAGGCACAGGAGGGGCCACCGGCCAACGGGAGGTGGAAGCTTCAGCCCCTTTAGTCCCCATGGACACAGAACAAAGGCACCACAACCCCACTCCTCTTATGGAGTTTCTTTGGAGGAGCTGGGAGAGCTCTTGGAAGGCACCGGAACACTGGCCTGGTATGTCAGTTGCCCTGGAATCTACAAGCCCTGGCTTGCCCTGTGATGAGGTTCAGGGGCTCAGGGAGTGGGGGATCCTGACAACCAGCCAGGTGGGGGGTGCCGGTTTAACCTCCTTGTGGGGGGAGTGGGGCTCAGAGAGGGGAGTGGCTTGCTCAGGGTTGTCCTATGAGGAGGAGCCCCCTCCCTCCCCTGGCTGCCCTGCCCCTCCCGGCCCAGGGCTGGAGCACTCACCTGGAAGAACCTCTCCACGTGCTCCAGAGGTGCGTCCTCCCTCAGGATCGGATAGGTGTGGCGGCCCATCATGTCATAGATGGACTTCATGATGGCCAGCATCTCCTGGAGCAGGACCAGAGGGCCAGGCATGAGCCTGGCTGCGAGGATGTAGGGGGGTACCAGGGCCCCAGGAGAGGGGCTGCCCCAAAGGGTGAAGGCACTGCCAGAGCAGCAGTGAGTGAGCAGGCGGGGTGTTCAAGCTGGAGACAGACGAGCTCACCCCCATCTAGTCTATTCAGTGCAGGCCTCTGATTCTCCAGAAGTTGGAGATAGATTTTGGTGTGTCGTCTCCAGAATTTGAAATTGTAGCGACGATTTCATATACAAAAAAAAATGTTTGGGCAAAACAAAACCTGACTGTAGACCTGTGTGGTGAGGTCCCCCACCTGCCTTAAGGGTCCACACTGCCCCCTTGACTGGGGGGAGCTGAGGCCCACTCCTCCTCCCCCTGTCCCTAGCTTCTCCAGTTGTGTCTCCCTCAGGACCTCCCTGTGAGAGAGAATGATCTGAGAATACTGGTTGAACCGGTGAGGGGCACACCAGCTCCACAATCCCCTGCACCCCGATGTCCAGGACCAAGAGCCTGGGAGAGGAGGAGAGCCCCCTGGCTGCTGTCCCCTCCAGGATTGAGCTGAGAGCCGTGTCTCTGGACAGGAAAGGGAGACAGGACAGTCAGGGTGGCAGGAGAGTGGAGGAAAGAGGCTGGGAGTGTGGAGCAGTAGAGAGGAAGAGGGGCAGATGGCCACCACCCTCGACCGCCCTGTACCTCTTTGGTGATGTAGCCATCCTTATTAATGTCGTAGAGGTTAAAGGCCCACTTGAGCTTCTCATGAACTGTTCCTCGCAGCAGGATGGAGAGGCCAACCACAAAGTCCTGTGGAGGGAGGGGAGGGTGAGAAGTCCGATGCCCAGATTTTACTTCCGGTTTGCTGTGTGCCTTCACACCTCTATAGGTGAGGAGCCTTCATTACAGAGCAGGCTGATGATGTCCATTAGGTCAACACCTTGTGAGTGTGTGCATGTATGTGTGTGTGTGTGTGTGTGTGTGTGTGTGTGTGTGTGTATGTGGTGGGAATGGCATGGTGGCTGGTGCTTATCTTCTCAAATAAAGATATTCAAATACATGGTGTCTTAGACCCATTTAATGCACGGCTACTGAAAGAGAAGACCTTGGGTGCTCTTTTAATAAAGGAGAATGTTCTACTTTTAGTTTACCAAGGATCTGCATGTCAAGGTGCTTGAAAACTCATGGCTTAAAAGCTAAACCAATAGTGCTCAGCTTTGGGGTCATGACATACCTGTGTGTTGGAATCACCTCTGAGGTGTGACAGAGAATTTATTACAATGTTATAAGACATAAATGTTCCAGTGGCTTCTGTGTGAAAACTCCAACTGCTCTTAGCAGTTGGTGGAAAAGCAAACCCTCCCTTCCATTTCCCGGAAGGCTTGCAGGTTGAGCCTGCCTTCTCTGCCCCACAGGGTCCTCCCAGGTTATTCTGAAAGAAGGCAGCAGAGAAGGGCTGTCCCGGAACAGGAAGTGGAGAACGGCAGATTGGGGGCGGGGGGGAGCAGGGGCAGGGCAGGCCGTGCACCAAGGGTTTTGGTTACCACTCAAACATAAGATCTTCTGGATCTGAAGAGGCCTGTACCACGAGAAAGAGAGACTAAGGGAAACAGAGGAAAGCAATCTGGAAGAAAGAAAAATTATTCCAGGAAGAAAAAAGACGTAACAAAAATGACCAGAAGTGAAGGTTGGAAATCTGGCATCCCTAAAATAAGAATAGGATGCTACAAAAAGGGAATAATTGACAACGATAAAGAGCTCCTGGGTATTAAAAATACAAAAGCAAAATGACAGACTCAGAAGAGGGTTTGGGAGAGCAAGTGGAATCTTCCATAAAGTCGTGTGAAAAGGCAAAAGAGCTGGAAAACAGAAAAGAGGACAATGAGAGGTCTCCTATAGAGCACACAATGCCCAAGCACCAGGGGCTCCCAGGAGAACCGAGGAAATGGAGGAAAGCAGGTTAGAGAAGACGAAGGACCCCCCAGGATGGAAGACCGGGGAGCGTCCAGGTCCTGCCGAGGCCAAGCACGTGGAAACACGTGTGCATGGAAACAGCCCACAGTGTTGCCTGTGGGCACAGGTCATGATGGCATTTCAGTAAACCAGGCACAAAAAAGAGGATCCTACAAGCTTCCAGAGAGAAAAACAGAACCAAATGGACAACACAAAAGCAGGTCCTGTACACAGGGTCAGGACTGGGCAGGTTTTGCAAGAAGTGAGGCCACCACCGCTGGGAAGGAGGACAGCTTCCCACCGTAGCTTTGCTCCCACACAATGTACCGAGCAAGAGGGAGAATAGAACGAAGATGTTTCCAGACATCCACAGGCTCCAAAGTTATCTCCCACATACTCTTTCATAGGAAGCTGCTGGAAGCTGTGCCCCTGAAAAGACAGAATAAAGCAAGGACGAGGGAGATGAAGAATTCCAGAACCAGGAGACCCACCCGGGGGAAAGGGGAGGAGGTGGAGCCAGTCGGAGGCTGAGGAGCGTCCTCAGGGAGATGCCCGTTAGTTCATTCGCTCGTTCGTTCGTTCCGAGACTGGAGAAAGGCCTGGAGGTGAATTCATGACGAGGTCACAGACCCCGGGCAACTGAAAAACCAGGACCACTGTTAACTGGAGGCAAAATAAGAATGCGCGGAAAAGAAAAACATAATCCGCTCACCAGAAGGCTGAGCGGGGCATCAAATTCACGTCATCAGAGTAAAACCACGGTCCTTGTCCCACCTGAATCCTAGCATTTTGGAAAGCCAGGGGATGGGAAAGGTGTATGCGTATGGGAGACCCAGCTCTCATCCCCACAGCAGAGAGCGGGTGGTCTAAAACTGGGCAGCCAGTGGGGCACCTGGGTGGCTCAGTCGGTTAAGCTTCCGACTTTGGCTCAGGTCTTGATCTCACAGTTTGTGGGTTTGAGCCCTATGCCGGGCTCTGTGC